TTTTCATCTTTTTATTCAGATGTGGGCTCTACACTCTACAGTCAATAAAAAACACTAATAAAATTACATAAAATAAAACACTTAAACCACTTGTAATAACCATTTATTATTAATTTCTATTATTTTATTCTGATTCAAAATGACAAACTAGTGGAGACATAGACATATATATGTAAAAGGGCTCAGTTCAGAGTGTCTGCAGGGAATTGATATCACGAGGCTCTATCTGTGTGAATGTAAGTGTGGATGTCACCAACCTTTCACAGTAGTGGGCGTAGTCTCAGGAAGTCCAGTGAACACATTTGTCCCTCATCTTCAGTTAGTCCAGTACATAAACCCGCCTTCCACCGCTGCACCTTGCTGGACTGTTGTCCAATACCTGTGTGAGTTTAATGCAGACAGCTTGTAATGCTGCTTTAACTGACCTGCTTGCTCTCTCCTCCTTCCTCGTAGGAATAAAAATGAGAAATATTTACGTGCAAAGCTGCCTGACCCACTCTCACTCCTCCCAGCCATCTTTGTTCACCAACTCTAAAGCTCTGAGGACTGGAGCTGTGCCCCGGAGAAAGAGAGGAGAAGCTCTGATTTCTGTTACTTACCCAAAGCAACTCAGGTGAACTTTGTTCCCAGATTAATCAGCTCCGGGGGAAAGATGCTCAGATTCCTGTTTGTTAACCTGCCTAAAGACACTTACCTGAGCACAGCCTGCAGCCTGTGAACTTACTTAAAGACTTACCTGTAAACAGTGATCAAGGTTCCAGCTGTCGAACTTACATGTGATGTTCTTTTTTAAGATTCTGTTCATTTAAACAGTTTAACTTTGTAACTGTGTCCTGCATTTGGAGTTGGTCTGTTGGAGAAACCTTGTCAGCAAAATGTTAATGTTTTGCTAATTATAAAAATGAAGAAAAAATGCAGATAAAATATCAGAGATCCTCTTGATTTTTTTGTTTTATAGCTGGTTGGGGAGGATATGTGCAAGTAGAGGGATGTGGGTCGGTTTGCGTTCCACTTTATAACTACAAGTTAATGATAAATAACAACCATATCAGCATCTAACCTGAGTCATGTGACATAAGCAGCTTAGTTGTCTGTTCAGTTTTCTATCACGTATCAGTTAGGAGAAAAGAAATACACTCCAATACACCATACATTTTCATACAGGAAGAGCAGAGGGATGACAGCTAGGCAAGACCCCCTCGTACAAAGCAGAAAATACTGATCATACTTTTGTTAGAAAACAAAATAAGTCAAGGACAACCACCAAACGTTGGATGCACAAATTTTAATCATGACCTAAACTTTCATTCATTATCAAAATGTTTGCTGAGTAACATTTGGTGGCAGCGCAAAATGTGTCTTTATGTTTCCAGAAAAGAGGAAATTTTAGCATATAGTAAATATAATATAATCCTTTACTTCTACATGGAGATTTTGATTGTCTGTATCTAAGTAAGGTCTTCATGTGTTATTTAAGTTTGTCTTTAGAGACTGGCTAAATCCTTTCTAAACTGTGAAGATAAACTTGTAAATCTGACAAAGCTGGACTCGGATTGTCTGACCAAAAACTGAAGAACAAATCTAAAAATCTGACCAAATACTGTCTGTCAGCATTTATTATCCGCCAGTTTTTGACATATTTCCATTGAAGTTTGATACCCTAATTGAATTGCACTTGAATGCACCATGAGAGAAGAAGGTATCTGTGACAGGTGAGTATTTGTTATTTTGCTGCCAGAGCTCATGAATGTGTGTTTCTGTGTGAATGTGTGCATGTGTTATGTTTGCATGTTTCCTGGGGGATAACAGCAGGTTGACTGTCCTGATTCTGTCTGCTGTACTTTAGGTGGTCACAGCTCACTAATGCACCATGCAGCCTGCTATGCAAACACGCACACACAAATTCACATGCACACACACGTGAATATCAAATGCACGCATACTGAGGCAAATGTTTGCGCGCGCACACATCGTCATCATCATGAGTTGATGGTCATCTGGTCATATAAAGAAACTGCAGCGACACACATCTCTGTATAATACACACACACACACACGCGCGCTGTTCAGCCCTAATTCTATAAGGGGGTCCAGCATGTCTCCCCTGAAACCTCCAGTTCAATTCATTTGATTTCATTACACACAGAGAGAAAGAGAGAGAGGTAAACTGTATTGTGGGGGAGCGAGGCAGGGGCTGCAGTGGTGGTTTTCATTAGGAGCTGCTGGTTAGAGCTGCGATCCAATTTAGACTTCAGGCTGGCAGAGAGGCGAGCTGTGTGTTTTTATTGGTATTTAATCAGCTCAATTGGGACATTTTATTAGTGCAATGCTTTGTTTCGGAGGACAGACGAGAACTGCGGGTTATTAGAGGCTCTCAAAGTGAGGTTCGGAGTCCCTGCAGGGGTCCTGGTGGGGTTTCAGCGAGTCTAGAGGAGGATGAAATATTGAAAATGTGTCCTGCATGGCTCAATAAAGAGAAAGAGGAGAGCAGTAAAATCGCCAGATTCGATGCCTTTGCTGAAAATGTCACGATGCAAATTATAGTTTTAGTTCTGCAAACGTGTCTCAGAGGCAAAGCTGCGAGTTAATCCTCAGAAGGTGGAGCCAAAAATAAAAGCAACCGCTGCAAACTTGACCAATGCAGAAGGAAGTAAAGAAATAAGATGGTTAATTTCAGTGTTTTAACCAGTCTAGAAGATCATCAGATTAACTATTGTGATTGTGTATAAGCTGATACATGCAGATATATTTTGAAAAAGAATTACATCTAATGACATTTAACCTTAAAAGAATTACAGTAGCACCCTTACATGAACCATGCTGTTCCCTCTGTGCTACTAGCATTCAGGGAAAGTATAGTCAAATTGAATATGGCCATTGTCATTTCTAAGTTATCAAATACTGACGTTTGGTATGGTCCCTTAAGCATCACTTTATAATACACTAGGCATCTACAGATATATACATAAAGATAGCACATCGCTCACTGCTATTCTTTGATATTGCGTTACAGGTATCTAATATAATGTATACCATGTAAAAACTGGCTGCAAAAATATAAAACGCTATCAGGACAGCATCATTTAAATGAGTCTGACTTTAACTGAGCACTTCAGACAAGTGATTAATGATGTGGCTCCAATTCTCTTGATCGAATTTGAGTCTGAAAACACAAAAACATGCTACTATACATCCGAACAAAATTATATAGTTCTGTATGCTGATGTGCCTACAGTTCAGGCACATGTGAATAATATCTATAAACATCAATATTTTATTGATACGTTTAATTAAAATGAGCCTCTGAAAATTGAGAACTGTATAGAAAAATTGCAGTTAATGTATTCATTCAATTCAATGATTTTATCAATATAGTTCCAAATCACAACAATCATCACCTCAAGGCACCCCAACAAGTAGATGACTCCCCCTATGCACAAGCGCTTGGCTACAGTGGAGAGGAAAAACTCCTCTTTAACAGGAAGAACCCTCTGGCATAACGACAAGGAGGGGTGTCCATCTGACGCTCAGGGTGAGGAGAGAGAGACAGAAATACTTTTGTTGTCCTCTTTTGTCCCCTAGCTTACTTGAAGATGAAAGTCTGCGTATCTTGAATGTTTAATGTGATGCACAGAGGCAAAATTGCAAACATTGTATCTTTGTCTAAATAGTTATGAAATAAACTTTGTCAACTGTGACATTATCCACTGATTTTGGAGTATGCATGCTAAAAGCTCATTGTTAGCATTTTACCCAGTGCTGTGGGGTTTTTTTTTAAATGTTTTTTTTTTTGGAGCTTTTTTTTTTAGCGCTAGAAATAATCTGCTTTAGCTAATAACTCTTAAGTTATCAGCTAAAGCTTGCAAAGCTGTTTACAACCCTACACTCACAAATTGTACAAAAGCAAAGCCAGGCACATCTGCTTGATAAGGGGTGCCAAACATAAGGCCTGAAGCCAGAATTGGCCCACTAAAGACTCCAATCTGGCCCACTGGAATGCTTTGGGAATGTGAAGTAAGGCTTGATTGTTAGACTTTCACCTGTATTTTCACAGGTTTTACACCTTTTCTACCTCTCCTGTGTCCATTTAAACTATTACTACTACGATTGTGCTTGGTACCAGCAGATTCTGTTTTTTGTCAAGTAACTAAAATAACAATGCTCGAAAAGGCACCAACACCAAAAACATAGACAAGTAGTCCAATTCAGTGACTTAGCCACATTGACCTAGCAGACAGATACTGGCAGCAGCTCACTGGCTGTGTGGGAACGCCCTACTTTAAGTGTTAAAGTTATTCAGAATAAAGAGCAATACAAAATGCACATATTTGTTATGAAGGTCGAAATGTTTTTTTTTATATCATTATTATTAGTATTTTTTTATTATTATTTTTAAAATTGAACTTCTTAAATTGGAAGTCTATGGACTGACTTCCTTTTAGAGCCAGTCTCTAGTGGCCAGTGGTGAAGAACTGCAGGTTTTGGCACTGTAGCTTTTGGCTTTGTTTTTCTGGGCTTTCAGACTCCTATGACCTTCTTATCTGAATGGAGTATAACACAAGGACTGAAAATGCTACAGTAGCCTGAATGAGCCAAGGCTGGAAAGTAATTATACATTTAGTTGTAAACTTTTAACATTTGAGCAGCACTTCGTCTTTTCTACCGTATTTTTGTGAGAATTCTCCACCATGCACCCCGTCTCTCACCCAATGGTGGCTGTACAAAAATCGAATGAAAAAATAAAGCATTCTGTTTCACTGCACATGAACCTACCCGAGACTATAGTGAGCTAAAAAAAAAATTATAATTACTGTACAATAAATACTTTTACTTGATTGGGGAACTTTTACTTGTGGCATCGAGTTTGTGTGAGTGAGCAGGAGAGAGACAGAGTGAGGGCGGAGAGCCGGTGTGAGTGAGAGAAAGGGGAGGAGACAGTCTGAGGAGGAGCGCTGCTGAATTCGACTTTATTCGAAAGTCTGATCACACACGGCGCTTCATTGAATGGGGAGAGGACAGTCGAGCTGGTTTGTCTGTTCAGAAAACAGATTGGAGAGAAAATACTCAACGCACTTTCGCACAGACACCTGATGATGACTAAACACTTCGCTCAAGCACAGCTCCTTTATTTGCACTTAAAGAGACTCTTCGGGCTTCGCAGCTCTTGCGTCTTTTTGGGCACAGAAACCCGCACTATTTCGTCTCAATTCCCAAAGTAAGCTGATACACACACACAGCACGGGGAAAAGTGAACGTCCTGAAGTCTGGATACATCTTGTATCCACTTTTGTATCCTCAGTTCAAATGTGGTGCTTTAAATTATTTTGTTGAGTGAAGTGGGGAGTTTTTGGCTTTACGCACGGTGAAGCTTGTCTTTTTTTCTTTAAAGACGTTTTTTTTTAACTTTTCAAAGGCAATAAAAATCTTTAAAACGGTTCTGTTTTACTTTAAAGACCTTTTTACTTTTATACGTTTGAACACATTAAAAAAAATGCTCCGAAAGACTGTTGGAATAAACAAAATGCTCCAAATCAAACCGACTTAAAATAAAAGTCCAGGAAACTGATTCTCAGTTACTCTACACAATAAAGCCAGGGGAAATGCCGTCCTGCTGAACAAACAGCCCTCTCTCTCTCTCTCTCTCTCTCTCTCTCTCTCTCTGTATGTGCGTGTGTGAGTGGGGCGCAGAGGACAACACACACAAGTGCAAACGCGCGCGCACACACACGCAGGCTCTCGCCGACATACCGACACATACTTTGGCGCTGCCTCCGCCGCCGCCGCTGCTGTATCACTGTATTACACCAATGTCATTGCAGAGCTCGTGCTGCTGAGAGCCGCGCGCTCACTGGCTGACAGACTGACTGCTCCACTCCAGGTCTGCTCTTCCCACAACACTCACAAGACCAACCGGCACACACCCGGCGGAGGAGAGCCGGGGGACGGGATGCCGGCGGCGGTGCCCGCGTGAGAGAGAGGAGAGTCCGGAGCTCCTGCACCGGCAGACAGCAGCACAAACACGGCTGTCCGCCGGTCTCCAGTCGGTGAAATAATCACCTCTTACATCCACCGACCCCGCTGATTGCTGAGCAGGTGGAAAGAGAAGAGGCAGACTGCGCGCACTCCGGGACCATGATCCGGAGCAGCACACGGGTTATTTCTCAAGGATAAAGCCGAGAGGAGGAGAAAGAAGAGGAAACAATTAAGGAAAAGGTTTATTATATTTTGTCTTTGCGCTTTATACACTCACTCTTCTCAGCTATCTAATGATTCACTGAATTGTGACTGTTTTACGCACCATGATCCGGATTTGCTTGAGAGTTATTTTCAAAGGTTAGAAAGAGAGGAGGAAAAAGAAGAAGAAGACAAATCAACAAAAAGAAGCTTGTTGTTTATCTTTAATTGCTGAATCAATACCTCCATTGATCCCATTGATCCCAGTATTCGGTGACTGGTCTGTGTTGGGAGAAAGCGCCGGAGGAGGTTTTTAAAGTAGAGAAGCGGGAGCGCATCGGAGACGACGGGGACCATGATCAGGATCTTCCCGGATTTCAGCGTCCAGGTGACGGCTTCGGCGGCCGGAGGAACCGGAGCTGGAGGAGGAGGCGGCGGAGGGGGGATGGTGACCGGACCCCCGGTGGGTCGGGTGCCCGTGCCGGTACCCGGAGCCACGAACGGGACCCCGCAGAGCGTGCAGGGAATCACCGCCTACCAACAAAGGTATGTGGGAAATCTACAGGATTAACGACCTGTAGCGGAATCAGCGTAGGATGGGAAGGGAGTTGAAAAGAAATCTTGGAAAAGTAACACATCGAAACTAAACATACTTGTATCAAAGTGGCCTTGCGGAGAGATCTCCGCTCCTTAGTGCTCCTATAATTGATTTGACTGCGATAAAAGTATTTAAACCTACTAACATCTATTGAAATCAATCATTTTCCCCTTCGTGGGATGTTTTATGTTCAGGCACACTTGGGCATCTCTAACTCAGTGGACACTTTTTGGTTTAGTATTTTTGAAGTCGTTTTTTAAGGTATCATGAAGCAAAACTTCATCGTCAGTTGAGATTTTAAATCAAACCTGTGAAAATCACCTATAACCCCAGAATACACGAAACTCATTTGAAATGTGTAAAACTAGATGGAGAGGATTTTTTTTTATTCTTTGAGTGAATACGTTGGGATAAATATTTTCTCAGTTAGTTGCCGTTCCTTTTCAATTATTCCATCAAATCCACAAGCAAAAGAGGAATATTGTGACTTTAATGCCACGTAAGAGGATTAAGGTCAATATCCACAGTTTGTTTTGGGATTATTTTTTGTGTTTCAATGCAAATTTGTGAAGAAAAGTATAAAAATATGTGCACTCAGCAAAGACAGAGAGGATGGAGCAGCAGTGGAAGAAACGGAGGAATGAGGTTGCAGAGATTTAGTGAAAAATTATCTTCAGGAATGAGGTTCAAGTATTAAAACACGACTTCTGGAATAAAGTCGAGGTAATTCAATGGAAAACTGGGGATGATGTCCTGCTAATAACAGCGAAAACATATTGGATTATATCAGGAAAAACAAAAATGTGCTGAATGTTTTCCAGCTGGTCATGAATCCAACCTGCTCTCTTGTGACAATTCACTTCAGTCATAGCCCCCTCTCCCCCCCCCTCCCTTATTTCCCCCCTCTACTCTGAATCTAAATGATTGCCTCCCTGTCCGGCCACTCAGTAGGGTTGTTTTTTCTAATCATCTGGAGCCACAGGGGGCAGAAACACACCCCAACACACGCACACTCTTGCCTTATTACCGGACAATCTCTCCACATTATGGGGCATAGCTCTGTGTGCGTATGTGTGTGTAAAGTCTAAAAGCTGTGGGGAGCAAACAGGACATAAATCACTGCAGGGGCCTCTCCGAGTGCACTGAGAGTGTCTCAGCCCTCTAAAGCAACAAATACAAGGCGAATAAGGGCTGTATTGTTATTTAAAGCAAAGCGTCTGGGCGCACATAGACCTCAGACCCCCATAAGGGAGGATTTTGGGCAGTGTACTGTTTGTGTCCACAGTTGAAGGGATTAGAGTAGTGGCGTGGCACGTTCTCGCATCATTTCCACTGACATAAAACCTGCTGTAATTTAACTGTGTCGTCATCGGCAGCTGGGGGCCTGTTTGAACTCCTCAAAGACCTTTGAGGCCCCTAAGACCTCAGTTTGGGAAGGGCCAGTTTGGCACATGGGGCCCATTTTGAGTGTTTGTGTGTGTAGATCTGTAACGGCCGCAGAGGCTCAGCTTTTCTTCAGACGCAGTGTCTTTTCACCGAGCTGCCCCTCTTCCCTCTCTCCATACATAATGTTTCCCTCCACCAACAGCTGGGAGCTAATATGTTTATACATTACGCTCCATTATCCACGTCGCCTCCGTTTGACAGCTCTCAGTAAGCAGGGCTGAGACGGGGAGAGAAGGAGCAGCCAAACCTCAAAGAAAAGAGCGAACGCTCGGGACCTGGTCTGGCGCAAAGTGGCCACACAGCTAGAGTAAAACTCGACCCTCAATCTACACGAAACCAACACCCATAGAATAAATGTGTTTATTCTAAAATATCTCTATATTTCTATCTTTATCAATATTATGCTGTTTGAACGAAGTAAGCTCACTTTAGGGCGCTGTGAAGGTGTACTGATGAGGGTCAGATCTGTGACCTTTCCGGTTTTGGCGTGATCAAAAGAAAATGTTACTTTGAAGCAGCTTTCTAAATCACATGTGGATAAACTGGGAGCCAGAGACGAAGTAACAAAAAAAAAAACAACCTCTGGTTACTGAGACCTGAGCTCTGATACGAAACTGCAACTACATTTTTTTTTTTTTACCGTAAATCACAGCAGCGGCTCTTAAAAGTGGTGAAAATAAAGCGCGCACACGTTCAGGTCTTCTAAGAATCCGTTAGTGCACATGGGCACTAACGGCTCACAGCTCCCGACGATCGCAGGCTGGAGGTCACGGTTCCCCCATCTTCAGTCTTTATTTTCTGCCACTGTGCCGCCTGTAACCCTGTGTTTGTGTGGAGAATACCCAGCATGCCTTTGACCTTGACAGGTCATTGGTATAGAGAGGGAGGCTTTTTCAGCTTCTAGGGCTGCAGCCAGGGGGTTAATCACACAGCACAGCGATTAGGTTACAATGAATTTTACACTGAAAACGGTGGAATTTAAATGAATGAATGAAAGAGGGGAAAGAAGAAGTAAAAGGTAGTTTCTGTTGGACGATAATGAGCCATTTGCTGACGCGCAAACATCAAAGCCTGGAGGCAAATATATTTCAGTGACCTGAAATACGAAAAATAGAAAAAGAAAAAAACCGAGCAGGTTATTTGATTTATTTAGTCGAAGAAGATGGAGAAGGGGACTTTGTTTCAATTTAGAGGCTCGCAAACTCAATATCAAAATCATGACAGAGACTCGTCAGATGACCAGGAAACTGCTGATTTATTTTTATATCAAAAAACAAACGAAAACAACAAGCTGAGTTGGGATTTTGAAGTGAGACATTTGCCGTGATGTGTTTATTACTGACAGTGAAGGAAGCCAGGTGAAGGGGGTGGAGGGTGGAGGTGTGCAGATCTGATTTACAGGGAAACAATCCAAGTAAATCACCCATCATTCTTTCCACTCAACGTCTCGTGCTTTTCTCTTTTCTTCTTTTTTTTATTACATTTTTAAAAATTTATTTAGGTGGTAAAACATTTTTTGATAATTAACCCACAGGGCAACCTGTATACAGGAGGAAATGAAAAAATAAAATAAATAAACACACGCACGCACGCACACACACACACACACACACACACACACACACACACACACACACACACACACACACACACACACACACACACACAGAAACACACACACACACAGATACACACACAGACACACACACACACTGCAACAGAGTGGCGTTGTTGCGCCGGGGCTGGAGAAAATACCGGAGATGTGTGCTGTCCTTTTTTCCTGTCAGCAGCCAGAGGAGGGAAAATGCTCCGAAAGCCACACACACTCTGACCGGCGAGAGACGCTCCGCCGCGGGGATTTTGACGGGGATACAGGCGCTGCAGTGGCGGCGAGAATGTAAAGAATTGACGCGTCTGTTTGCCTCTGTTTTTTCCTCCCTTCCTTTCTTCCTCCGGAGCGCAAGCGGGAAATTCCTCTGTAGTGCCAAAAAAGCCGAAGCTGTGCGTGCGTGGAGAGAGACAGAAGGACGAGGAGGGGAGAGACGGCGGTGATCTGAGAGGCATCCACCCCGGGTTCCCCCCTCACTCCGCTCGGCATGCCTCTGCTGCTGCTGCTGCAGCCCCGTCCCTGCCTTCGCCTCCACCACCCGTTGTTTCCACGCTCCTGAGCGGCGGCGGGGAGAGAGAGCGAGACAAGCATTAGACGCACGCGCAATCGCGCACGGCTGCTGACACCACACATACACACAGTCACACGTTCTCTCTCTCACTCACACACAGATACACACACACACATACACACACGGACATGGCTTTGTCTTAACACACCGACCATGACGCATTGCTGTCAGGGCGCAGCGCACCGCCGCCGCTCCGCGTCCACAAAAATCTGAGAAGAGGGAAAAAAAGAAAAGAAAAGAGAGAAAGTAAGAAATCAAATAATTGTTGTAGGAAGATGGCGCCCACCAAGCCGAGCATCCAGCAGGACCCGACGCGGAGAGAACGGTAACGGGGCTTGGATTTTTGTTCCCTCACACACTTCTCCTTCAATGCATGTTTACAGCTGCACGCAGACCGGCAGCCCGGCTGGCTGTTCCGTGTCGCTTTGCGTTTTATTCTGAGGCTGGAGGTGTCAGGAGGAACGCTGTTACCCTTTCCAGAGGAGAGTCGAGTTGTGCGTGCCCGCGTGCGCGCCTCTGTGTGTGTGTGTGTGTCAGACGAAGAGGCGTGTGGCTGCTGGGTAACAGGTCGGTTGGCTGACTCTCAGGGAAACAGATGACTGTCTTTGCTCTGACTCGTGTGTGTGTTTCTATGCCTAAAGGTGCACGTGCATGTTAGGAAGCCATGCAGTGTGTTGATGCTCCGAGCAAGGAAGGTGTGTGCGTTGTGTCGTGGAAAACATGTGCAACCGAACGTGCATGTGTGTGCGTTTGTGGCCAATTCTACTACTCCAACACTAGTGCGCGCGCGCGTGTGTCACTGAAGAATTGCCAGTGATCTTTAATGTGGAGGGATGTACATGGACTCACCTGTTCAAGTCACACAAAGCACACCTGTACATGACCTCAAAGGCGATTCACCTGCTCTGATTTTTAAGGTTGAATTTTTGTTGACATGTTTAAATTTGTGTGTATGTCTTCTTTAATCTGCTGTTAATATTGTTATATCCACCATGCTTTCAAATGTCAAAGCTGATCTTTTACAGAGGAACACAGTTCTTGTTGGTGTATCTGCTATAGCTTCTTTGTAACCGCTGCTTCAAGGATGGCCAGTAATTACATGCTTACTCCTTGTATTTTATTCAGTGTGTGATGCGTGGTGGTGTCGTGTTCTCTATGGAAATCTACATTTTTCCCCCTTTTTTATACCTGTTGAATTTGGGATGGCAAGCAATTACATGTAACCTACGCGTCTGCTCAGTTCTGTTGTGTTTTAATTTCAGAAGCCTTTGTGGCAGTGAATCAGTGTATCACAGGGATGAACAGGGAACGCGGTGTTGTAT